GGGTGAGGAGGGGGAAGGGAAGGGGAGAAGGGTGGGTTTGTGGAGAAAGGTCAGGAAAGGAGAGGGGGCGGGAATGTGGAAACCGAGGGACAAGGGGAGAGCTGGGGGCCACAGTTTCCCCTTGTGGGGTATTTGGCGTGCAACACGCCCCTCCTCAGACCCAGTGCTTGTTTCCTTTGGAAGCCCTGGATACCCCGTAAGATCACTTGGAGATCCCCTCCTTCGTTTACCCTGCATTGTCTCCTGAGGTGAGGAGGGGGCATTGTCTCCTGAGGAAAGAGAGGCTGCGGCCCCCATCTAGTCCTGGATAGCCCAATAAATGAGAAAGCAGGGGACCCTTGGTCCCAACCCTGGCTGTGCCATGAACAAACTGTGTTAACAAGTCTTTGTGACCTTGGGCAAGTCACTACCTTTCCTTGGGCCTCAGATTACCCATCGGTTTAAAAAAAAAAAAAAACACACGGAAAATGCATGAGAGTGATACCCCAGATCTTTTCCAGCTTCAAAATGGGGTGGTGGTTCTTGAGGAAAGAGTTCAGGAGAATGGGTTCTAGGATGTGGGGAAGCAAGGGAAAGCAGGCTGAAGATGGAGGCGAGGCCTTCAGCTGGGGCTGCAGAAAATCCCTAGGGATGTGGGGGATGGTAGGCACAAAGCCTGCAGGGCCCGAGCAGGCTAGCCAGCGCCTCTGGCATCCTACTGGAGGGATGGAAGAACTCTGGAAGTGGCGGAGGAGGTAGACACCTAACCCAAGAAAATGAAGACCAGAATGAGGTCTTCATTCTGAGGAGATGGCAGGACAGAGAGAAGCAATGGAAGCTATTTTCTAGTAAGACAGCCAATATCTTTGGGGAGAAGGAGGAATATGCTAAGGCTGGTATAGAGGAGTGGGGACTAGGATGGTCTTGAAAACAGAGGGGCTAGCACTGTTTGGGGGCAGCTGAAGCAGGGCAGCAGGTAAAGGTTGACTGCAGGGTAATCCCCTGGTCTCTTAGCCTCCATGGTTTTCCTTTCGATGATAGGTACTCTTTCTGAGAGGTGTGCCTTCCAGCTTTCATTTTCCAACACAAATCCCTTTAGGGAGTGAGTCAGACCAGACCATCCTTGAGATCACCTGGAGGATTTCAGGATTGTGTGTGGATTGGGGTGAAAAGGAAACAGGAAAATCAATTTGTGAGAAATAGTTGTGGCGCCATCATCCTTGCTGGGAGACCGCTTTGTGGAGTAGTTGAAAGCACAGGCTTTGGGGTCAGGCTGCGTGGATTCCAAACCTGCCTCTGCGGTTTAATCCTTTGGAAACTTGATCAAGTTATTTAATCTCTCTGAAGCTCAGTTTCTTTATAAAATGGGGACAATAATAGCCTTTTAGATGGTTACAAGGATTAAATGAGTGTTTGGCATGATATTTGGCCTGTAATAAGCACTCAGTAAATATTAGTTGTTAGCTATTCCCTCTTTCCATGCTCTTCCTTCCATCTCTCCATTCTTGTTCTTTTCCCCTTTTATTCTTTCTTCTGAATCTTTAGTTCTGAGATGCCGCTTAGGTTAAAGGCTGAGAAGAATTGATTGCACCTTTGGGGAGGGGGGTTGTTGTTCCACTGGCTCAGGTGAGCACATGATGATAAGATGATCAATTGTCTCTTCGTCTCTCTCCAGCCCACAGATGTTTTTTGTTCCAGGGAAGACACAGGATCTGCTCTTTCAGCCCCTTTCCTATATCCCTCTGTCACACGAGTTCAGTCTCGCCCCAAGGTGCAATGAGACCCACAGTGGTCCAGGCACTGCAGCAAGTGAGATAGGGGCAGGGGTGTTTCAGGAAGAAAAGTATACACATTGCACAGGGGAAGCTCAGGGAAGGGAGGGCTGTGGAAGTTCCATGGTAATTTATGTTCATTCCGTTGCTCTGTCCTCTGTGGGAACTGTCCAAAACAGTCCAGCATCTGGATCCTGGCCAGGGGTCTCCATTCCAAGTTAAAGATGGTCAGTGCTCGCTTCGGCGGCACATATGCCAAGTTAAAGATGCTCATATACAGTGAGTTTTTATTCAGGTTTTCCCGTGCCAGTATTTGATTCCAGTTCCCTTTCCCCAGCCATACAGACAGCCTCTGCCAAGCTGTTCATCTCATTACAGGCCGCCTTTACCCAGAGAATTTATACAAATGTACCTGGGCACATGGGCGCACATGCACACATTTGCCTGTTTTAGGATATTCCAGGATGAAAAACTTGAATAAGGTTGAGCCTGCATTCTATCACAGCACTTTGTATGCAGGGCCCTGACTAGACACTCAAGAGGGGGTTTAAAAGGAGAAAACATAATCCTCCAGTATGGAGAAATCTCCCAAGTAGGGAGACAGGCAGTCCTGTGGGAAACACCCAGCAAACATCCACAGAGTAGCGTGTCATTGGTGTCAAGTAGTGCAGCACTTATCCTGAGGGGACACAAGGAGGTAGGAGTATGTGTATGTGTGGAGGATAATCAGAAAGGTAATCTGAAGGGGGTGAATATTGGATCATCTTGAGCAAAGTGAGAGGCAAAGTAGAGTAAAAGGAACACATGGTGTATCCTAACAATTGCTATGCAGGGAGGAGGAGGGAAGCCATTGAGTCGAGCTGAGCCAAGAACTGTAGATGGGTCATGTTGAAAGGCTTTGAATGTTAGGTGAGATTCTGTAGGGGGAGCGATAGGGAGCCACCACTAGTTCTCAGGGAAGGGTTTGGATCCTTGCTGATTTAGCCACATGGGTAGCCAGGAATATGCTAGAGTGAAAAAACAGACCTGCTTCCTGTGGCAAGGAGTGTGCTGAAAGGGGTAGGACTGGAGGGCAGATTGGATCCAGTCCTGGCTCTGTCCTGACCGCTGTGGAGCCTGGGACTGCTAATTCCCCTTAGTTTTCTCATCTGAGAAAGGAGACTACCTTGGGTGGTTGCCAGAGTCCCCTCCAGCTCTGACATTCTGTGTTCCCTGAATAACTAGTAGGCCTTACCAGTGGCTGTGTTTTGTGGGACCTGCTAAGACCATTTAGTCAACAAATACTAACACCTGTGTTCCAGTGGGGGGCAGCGAGGAAAATACAATAGGGATAAGAGATCAGGGTGAGCCCAAACAGGCAAAGTCCCTGCCCCTTTAAATTTAAGATCTCGTGGAGGCAGGGGCACCTGGGTGGCTCAGTCGTTAAGCTCTGCCTTCGGCTCAGGTCATGATCCCAGGGTCCTGGGATCAAGCCCTGCATCGTGCTCCCTGCTCCGTGGGGAAGCCTGCTTCTCCCTCTCCTACTCCCCCTGCTTGTGTTCCTTCTCTCGCTGTGTCTCTCTGTGTCAAATAAATAAATAAAATCTTTAAAAAAAAAAAA